GCTGTAAAACGAAACTTTGCCTCTGTAGGCATCCAATGCTGAGAACTACTGCAAGAAGTCCCCAAAGAAAAAGAATAGCGTTCCTGGCCCTGAAGGCACTGTGAAGCTGCAAATAACACACGGAATTTTCATAGTAGGATACTTCTTCAAACTTTTAACTGACGGAGGCAAAAACCAAAGTGGTCGCTAAGCCCTGTTCTCTCCAAGTCTGCCGCAAAACAGCTCTGGATTTGTGTGCAAGCAACACCTGGTCGACTATGTGTATCTACCCTGACCTTGACTTGCAATCTTCCTGCTTTAACCTGCTTCCACAATGGCAGTGCGGCGTGTGACGATGATTGACTTGAGCTTGCATTGGATGTCCGAACACCGTACGGTCTCCCTGCCTCGTTGGTGAGAGGGGGCAGTCCATTAGGATCCACGGAGGAGGACTGCCTCGATGAGACAAAGTGTCCAAGGCAGGATGTCAAAACGACTTGGTTTCATCTGATACAAACAACAACATACAAAAACAGGCAACAAAAGTGAATGAGGGTTTCAACGGCTTTCTTGGAAGAGCAATGGAACACTTTGCAAAGTCTTCAGTCTGGTGGCATGCAGTATAGCAGCATCAAGGGTACGCCGATAACAAAAAGCACTAGAAAAAGGACCAGCACCAGTCCTTGCTTCTCCTGCGCAAAGGGTTGGCTTTCCAGAAGTGCCAGAATTTCCAGGTGAAGTTCCACCAATGACATTAAAAAGAACGTGTTGCAGCAGTACAGCTGCTTTCAGCTGTCCTTGTCCACTGTGGGCAATGTCACACTAAGTTCCACCCGAGTGGGTCCATCAGGGTTCCCGTAAAGGCCTGTCACAATCAACATGTCTGCATGTCTGCCATGGATAAGTCCCTACACGTCTTGGCTTTAAGTCTCACTGTAGAAGCCCTTAATTAGAGTATCCTTCTAAGTCCTTTCAAACGTCCAATCACTCATTGCTGACAGGTTGAGATTGCCAGCGAAGCGGCTCACCGCCTAAATAGAAATCCTAAAATTGCAACCGAACGAGAAACGAAACTCTCCTGGTTACCTGGCAATCAGAATGCTCAGGCAACGACGGTAGTTGCGCTTGGCAACTGGGTCTGTAAGCGCATCGTAGGCCTACAGCAAAGCTCAAGGCACCTTTCGGCAATTCCTATAGCAATGGCCTCCAACCTACAGTAATAGCAATGGCCACCAACCTAGAAGCAATGGCCTCCAACCTAATAGCGATGGCCATTGACAATTCCTGAAAAATGCTATACTTGGTTATACTTGGACTTATTGAGTTCGTGAGGGGAGGGAGTGTCTCTTCCTGGTCCCACCCCACACACCCAGTCCAGTCGAAGCAAAAGGCGGCCAACTCAAGGATGCGCATCTAGATGGTCAACAAATCGTACGGGCAACACATGTTCAAACTATTCACTTGTCCCTTGTCTGTTAGTACAAGAGATGCAGATAGATTGGACCTCTCGGTTGTCTGGATGGGATCATGTGAGTCATGTGGTGAGCTTCCCTTTCCACTTGTGCCTTCTTGATGAGGATAAACTTCTCAGCTGCAGCTGCATCCGGATTCTTATCCGGATGGTACTTCAGTGAGAGCTTGTGAAATGCCTTCCTTGGATCCAACCCACCACGCCTCGATCTTTATCAAGGTCCAGCGAGTACGTTTGCACCCTCTATTGATCCAAGCCATCCAAGGCTCTTGATCTGCGAACTGGAAGAGGTTCCCCCCACTTCCAAGATAGCGTAGGGATCGAAGTTTTGGTACCTTGAAGAGTTCCAGAAAAGAGAAAACAATCCTGTCAAAGAGACTGCAACCTTCTAGAACTCCTTTGCTTCTGTGCACATTTGCTGCAATGTGATATCGTCTGGAAATTCTGAGCATGTCAACATGTGCATCACGCAATCATCAACATTTGGAATTTCAGGGGCATTGGAGTATCAAAACAACCTACATAATGTTTGGAGCATCAAGACAGAGTTCACGGTCCATTTGCAATGCAAGGGCGGCCATGACCTTTAGTCTATTTGTATAATTATATATATAGAGAGAGACACATATGTGTCCTTGCGTATGGATGAAACGATGGTGCTCACAACTCCAAGCAAAGTATGTTCCAATCGGGTTTGCCGACACTGTAGAAGTGATTAGAGCAAAACATGAAAAAACAAAAAACATAAACAACTAGTTAAATAAAGTAAGATAAGTAAGAGAAAACTATCTAATGACGTGGCCTCAAGAGGCCCTGACCCTTTTGTTCCTCCTTCACATTGTTCCTTCGTCCCTCTCCCCCAAAAAGGAACCGTCACCGCTGGCCACTTGAGTTGCTTCATCCAAGTCAAAACTCGTATCAATGGACAGGGCTCTTCTCACCTGGAGGTAAAAGTATATAAGTCGGACCCACACACAAGGGAATAGAACAAACAAAGGGAATGTGTTTTCTTTGTCTAGCCTAGCCCCACAGCAGTGCGAAGGAGTTGCAGTGCGCTGGTGGCAAGTACTTGGCGCACCTGTGGAAGCGACAGATGGGGCATCTCCGGATGGCATTCTTGACTTGAAGAAGGGATGATTGATTCTCTGCAATGGCAATGTGCATAAGAGGATTGAAGAGAAACACATGAGTGTGCACAAACGTCAAGCCAGCGAGTCCAGCGAGAATATTGTGAAGTAGTCGATGGATTTTGCTAGTTGAGGGCAAGCCCCGAGGCAAGCCCCCATGACGGCCTGGTGTTTCGTCTGCTGAGGCTTTGGGCCGGTTCTGCCCCGTGCAAAACCTGTTCCCAGTCCTGCATCATGATGTAGACAAGCCAGCACCACAAAAGTGCTAACAGCACGAGTCGCCTTGGTCCATTTCACCAAAAAGCCATGAGGTTGAGTATTTGTGATCACCATGCGATGCCACGCTGCAAGTAGAACATGCTGATCCCTGTTGTTCCACAGCACACTGACCAAAAAGCTATGCCTCCTCTGCATGTCCTGTTCTTTCAACGGTCTGTCTCACGGTAAATCCAAACCCTGGCTTTTGGCCACTCCAAAATGGGACATTCCACAGCGGCAAGCAAAAATGACACTTTCAGGGCGAGTCACGCACCAAAGCCTACCGAAATTTGCCTGGTCTTCAGCTTTCGTATATCAGCTTCTTGACGTTCCTGACTTCTGGGCAGGCGACCGTTGTTAGTCCAACAAAGTCTAGAGACTGGTGATATATATATATATATATGTCTTTAAGATCCATAAACATGAAACAACATGGAACAACTGGCCCATTGCGCAACAACCTTACACTCCTACTGTTACACCACAGAAGATATCAAGGCTCACTCTGAAGTGCTTCAATATCTAATGCCCTGCTCTGTCTTTCCACTGTGCCTGCATAGCTTGGGTACGGCAAAACCTCGTTCGCCCATGCTCACTCGTCACAGGAAATGCCTTGTTAACCTAACAGGGTGCAGGTCACTGAAGGGGGCTTGCAAGTCTCGTGGATGTGTTGCAATAAAGTTTGTCGGAGCATGCCTCTGCACGGCCAGGGAAAAGCAAATACCATAGAACCCAGAGGGTCCATGGCACGAGGCCGCAACTAAGCATGGCCAAGAGAAAGAAGAGCATTGCCTTGGAGGCGGAACTGGCTCTTCACCGAACTGGCTCGAGGACGAGTCATGACGAGTCATCGCCAAGGAGCGGAGTCATCGCCTTCGCTGGACGCTTTCTTGGCACAAACTGGCGCGATGAGAGAGAAGAGGAAGAAGAGGAGAGAGTGCCACAGCAAAAACGGCCACATGGCAAGAGTGAACATAAATGGCAAGAGTAGCGGCCAGAGTGCCTGCTTTGTTTGTGGTGGTTGGATTGTTTGGATTGTTTAAGTTCGCCTGGGTTCATCCAGATTTCAGTGTTTGCCCTAGCCAATACAATGCTCACCTTTCTCTAGGATCACCCTGGTGCTGCATGAGTCTATGATGTTGCGCACTGTAAGAGTGGGCACTTCATGAACTCAAAAGCCTGGACTTGCCAAAGCGTGCAGCTCACTGTGCTTCGCTTCTGCCAGATTCCGCTTCGCTTCTCCGAGTTTCACTTCTCCGTCAAATCTTACTAATAGCAAACATTGTTACTACTAGTAAGGCACTTGTTCCTACAAGCGTGGCACTTGTTTCTAATAGCTTCTTGTTACTACTAGTAAGGCCAGGAGCCCCTAGTAGCTTCTTGCTCCTAGTAGTAAGGCACTTGTTACTAATAGCTTCTTGTTACTACTAGTAAGGCACTTGTTACTAGAAGCGATGCACTTGTTCCTAGTAGCTTCTTGTTACTAATAGCTGAGGCAACCTTTTTCAGCTTGACCGCTACGTGCAACCCTGCAAGGCGCAGGCGAATTCAACAAACTCTTGCAACTCCACAAGGCTTCGAAGCCACTCTGTTTTTGTCTGTTCCTGCTCGAGTCTATGTGCTGCAAACCAAGAAATGTTATCCTGCCCTGAAACAGCATTAAATATTCACTGACACCCTGATTTCTTTGACCAAAAATATATACATGCTGGACGCTGCAATCAGGATACTGTGATTGCTTGTCCAAGGCCGTCATGGTGTAAAAAGTATATCCGTTCTATTCTTGTATATTCGTTCTTGGTGTGATTCCGGATCACACTTCAATCGAAAGCTTCTTGGCACTGGGTGACACGGTGGAGTAAATAATCATTACATCACCTGGCGATGAATTTGACAACGATTCAAAGGATCAAGTTTGGACGCAGCGAGACAGGTCCTAGCAGTCAGGTGCAAAAAGAAAACTCTAATGAAATCTCAACTGGCATGATTCACTGCGTCCAATCGTCTTGATCCATGCAGAAAAGTTCTTTGGGTGCTGCTTTCCTAAAAACTTCGTCTTCCAGTGAGCCTGAGAAACAAAACAGACCATCTGAACCAGGCAACAAATGAAGTCATACATTTCTGTGAAGCTTGAGCACAGTGGAGTATGCTGAAAACTGTTGCTTGCACTTATATAGTTGTAAAGAAGGCTCTTCGGAATGCCAGGTTCAGACTCAATGCCTCAGTTCGCGATGAGCTGGTGACAGTGAACCCAAGCAAATGTTCAACTTTGCAAAGCTTAGGTAGCGCTGCATCCTGCACTGAATCACATGTCCCTTGGCCTCTGACGGCACTGAGGGAGTGTGCATGGCTGTGACATCTAATCGCGAGTGGCATAGCGGGCAGTTTCGCAGCTTGCGCACCTGGTACATGTGGCAAGCATGCGGTGGATTCTTCTCCTTGTTCTAATCAGTCCACAGCAGCGAGAGCGGCCTCGTTTGAATACATCCGATGTCTGCAGCAGCGGCATTTGATCGTCTCGCCACCACCTGCACTTTTATGTCGGATGCTCTCGACCGACTTGACAGTGGTCTTACTCTCTCAGCCAGAGTTGCACCAATCGTCGTTCACTTCCAGAGCAGAGGAACTCTGAACCAAGCATTTGGGTCTCTTGAGAATCCTCACTGTTTCAATCTTAAACAATTTGTGTTTAACAACAAGTAGAGATTTGTGTTGCCGTGTACCTTGAAATTACTTTAGATGCTGGGGCACTGCTCTTGTCCTAAAGCACCATCGTTGGCAACTTCAACAATACTAAAATCATCTACTGTATATAAAATCTGATACAATGAGAGTTCTAGTGCAATTCGACTCGACTCAATTGTGACCGGCTGCCACTTGCGATGACACACCGCCTGTGCCAGGCGGATATGGATGGCTTGCATTGCGGTCCTGATGCAGCCAGCTCTGCCACTGTTGAGCAGTTTCATTGCTGACGGAAGAGACTTCAAAGTGGGCGACAAGCTGGAACAACTGGTGCAAGCAGCAGGATCGGTCTCAAAGACACCAGCCTCCGGGAAAATGGAGCGTCCAGATGCAACGCAGAAGGCCAACCGGTGGTTGCAGCTGGAACCTGAGACGCACTAAGTCAGCGTGGCATTCGCTCCAGATGGACATGACCCCTTCTAATCCATCTCAAAATCTCACACAACTCGGATGATTGTTTTATCGATGCACGCTGGCAAACAGCCTTGAACGAACCTGTCACTGGCAACCCTGACCACATCCACTCTACTTTGAGAGCAGTAAAGGGTCGAAATCACAAGAGCAAAGTGCCGTTTGGCCCTTGCCCCGTCTATGTACATTTGGCAGGTCAAAAGTCCCAAGCCTCTTCATCTAAATCACCCATGTAGATATATGGCAGGTCTTCGCCGTCTTTGAAATCTGTTTCGCAAATCCTGCCAGGGCTGGCACGAGCTTGGCAATAGCAATACCAAATCGGAGGCCCTCTCCAATGATTTATGTTTGACAAGTTTGCACATGATAGGTGTGTACAATCGACTGCCTCAAGAGAAGGCACTATGTAAACAAATAAGCCTTGACTTGACAGCCTCAAGCTTCTAATGCTGATTTCGGCACTGTCGGCAAATTCCGGCTTCATCTGCTCAGCGCTAAATCCGGAACCATCAACTACTTGTACTTACGATTCCAAGTACTCACAATTCCAAGACCTGCCTCACATTGTCGTCCAAAAGCATGCTGCTGGGTGTGAAACGTGCAGCCCTGCCCTTGTAGCGCTTCTTTACGATGACGATCTTGTCCTAGAGCCAGGGCATTCAACAGACTTCAAGCGTAGCTTTTTGCTGGTGGCATCTAGCAGTGTTTCGTCTGGTGCTGTTCTGCTTGGTGCAGAGCAAAATCAAATCAGAACTGGTCTGTTTGAGAGAATTGGTCTCAGGTTACTAGGTCTCTGACACGTCGGAGACAGGGCAGCCGTATGCACATCCAGCACCTACAAGTTCTAGACTTGATGAAAGCGATGTTTGGCCTTGGAGACTGCACTGTCAAGTCTATATATATATATGTGTGTGTGTGTCTGCTTTCCACTGACCCTGCTCCAGGATCAATGGATCTTTATAAGCCAAAGAAAATACATATATATATATATATGTATATATGTTTCCCCCCTTGTACCCACCTTTCATCTCAGATGTTCAGGCATAAGTTGCACCAGCAGATGCTGTAGTAGAACTAGTACCATCAGCGGTAGCCTCTAACAATGCATCTAAAATGTGGTATGTCCTCATTTGTGTCTTGAAGTGTTGCAAACAGTATTATTCACCTCAGATGAAAAATCTGATGTTCTTGTTTCCACATTTGGATTGTACACAATTGACAAATCGCCTATTTGTTTCATATTGACTTGTTTCAGGTAATCCAACGTTTACAGTAAAATGTTTTGCATTGTGTGGTTTGCTTCTGCTATTGTATTACCCATTTCTATTCTGTATGAAAGCTTGTAAGGCAACAACCCCGACCGACAACAAGCAAGCTCAAAGCGTTCTTTTTCAGTCGGTTGGATATGTCTCCTGCCGACGCCATCCCCCGTCCGCAAGCGTTGCGGAATGGCCTGTCGTTGGGAGCGTCCCACCTGCCAGGTGATTTTCCGGGAGGGTGGGGTAGGGAAAAGGAAAATCTCCTACCCTCGAGCCTACAAGCAAATAATACAAAATACTGTCATGACATGTCATGAATGTATTCTGTATGAAAGCTTGTAAGGCAACAACCCCGACCGACAACAAGCAAGCTCAAAGCGTTCTTTTTCAGTCGGTTGGATATGTCTCCTGCCGGCTGCCCTAAGAGCGTCTTAGGGCAGACCATCCCGCTTTCAGTCAGGATTTCCAACGACTGAAGTATTTCTTCGGTTTCTTCCTTGCTAGGCTCAGCTTTGGCCCGTCATCCTGTTTCTTCTTTTTGTGCTCCTTGATCTCATTGAAAAGCACCTCACTGCCCCTCAATAGCTCGTCCATCACGTGCCATTGGAGCCCTCCTTCTTCTACTGCCTCTCTCCTCTGGTGATCAAAGGCGCTGAAGTCCTCATTGGTCAGAGCATCAGCCAGTTCGTTCCCGTCTCTCCTGACCCAAGTGAGGGTTGCGAAGGCATCACATCTTCGAAGTGTCTCCGCCACCTCAATCACAAGCAACGTGACAGGGTATTTTGTGGAGAGCCCTTTCTTCAGGATGAAGGCGTTGCCCCGGTTATCCGTGAAGGCCTCTGCACACACCTCAGCTGAATCTCCTGCACTCTTCAGCCATAGTTTCAAAGCGACCAGAGTCGCCAGCAATTCCAATGCAGCAATAACTCGCTTCGGGTTCTTTCCCCGATAGTAAAGCCAGGGGGCGCTAACCTCTGTGACCTGCAGTGAAAACCAGCGACATCGCTTGCTGTCCTCACACTCTTCAAGCCATCCCCCTATCCAAGCCGCTTGTTCTGTCGCCTTGGCGTCAGTCCAAATCTTCAGGGACCTCCCCCCTTGTCTTGCAGGCTGCTTGACAACCTCCATGTGGCCTCCGGCCCTGAGCCTCTTGGCAATCCAGTCCAAAATGAATTGAATAGCCCAAGGAATGGTCATCGCACCCCGATTCATTTGAATTGCCGAGGCCCACGCATACAAAGGACCCAGTAGAGGCCTCTCCCAGGGGAGGGCTAGTGCAGAAAAGCCCAGCCTTCCAAGACCTGCAGCAAACTCGCGATAAGTGACCTCTTTCCTCCTCCTCAAAGAAGCTATCCACTCAAGGACCCAGCCCGTCCTCTTCACCGAGAGGCCCATGGAGAAGGACTGGTAGTCCGTGGTCAAGCCGATCCACTCTGTCACCAGGCCACCTCGCTGTTTAGCCCACTTGAAGGGTGCACCAAGAGCGGCCATAACTGCATAGGCCAACACTCCACCAATCCTCCCTTGCCGACCTATAGCAAGCACCTCCAGGTCATCAGCGTACAGCAACATGTCATTGGGAAAATCACCTCCCAAAACCCAGTACACTAGCCTCATCAGGGCTGCACTCAATCTCGCCCACCAGTACGGTGTTGAGGCGATACCGAAGGTGCCCACCTGGTTGACATAGACAGTGTCCGACTGGGTGGCTGCCTTGCATGCTAAAAACCCATGCTCCTCCTCCAGGTACTTGAAACGCCGATGCGCTTTTGCAAAATCACCAACCAGCGACAAGACCGCCGCACGGTCAGCCCCATACTCCTCCAGCAAGGTGCGCTTCTCTCGGGGTCCTGGCATCCGAACCTTGTCTCTGCACTTGATCCGGTGATTCACCATGACACCATGCGTGCCATCATGAATAACACGCTTCTTGCCTGTCAGTTCGTCCTCCACCAAAACTGCCAACGCTGCAACAGCACGATTTTTGCCATAAGTACGGACAAAGTCCTCCTCGCTCATCTTCACCATGAGCCCCTCAGCCACCTCTTGCTCCAGATGCTCAACCAAGTACTTTTCGTGCTCGGCAGCCGAAGCATAGTTGTCCTTCTGCCATACTGCACTGCCCCAGCCATCACCCTCCAGGCTCCACTTCACCTGCTCTTCAAAGACTGCAAGAGTCCTTGGCATTTCATGGAGTATACCAAGGGGCAGGCCTGTCTTCGCCTGCTCTAGGAACTCCCAGTCCGGGTCCCCAGCCCTTTGAAGTACCCCCTTCATGGTGTCCAGGAAGAATGGCTGCCCTTCCTCCGGGCGCTCCTGCCTCGGAATGTCCAACTTCTCCGCGAGGATGTCCCTGATCTCTTGCAGAAAGGCCTCTTCTCTGACGAGCCGGAATGAGTCTCCTCCTCTTGCCATCCTAAAGGCCTCCTTCTCGACCTCCGCCACACTCCCCAAGCGCTTCACAGCCGCTAACAAAATGTGGTGTCTCACCATCGCCCATTCTCTGCCCTCCAGCTTCATCCTCCTCTCTGGTGGCCACCTCCCTGGTGAAGATAACCCACCTCCATCGTGGAATGATGCCTCCAGCCCCTTCCAACGACATGCCCTCGGGGGTCCCCGCCCCCCAGGGACTGGCGGGTTCATCGGATCCACCACCTTCGGATGCCCTCCGGGCACGGGCCGGTCCTCCTCCAAACGCCTTCTCTTCGAAGCCGAAAATGTCTCAAGTGCCTCAACCCCAGCTGGATCCTCATCACATCGTCTCTTCCTCGAAGTTGGAGTGGAATTGATCTCACCCCCCCCTTCCCACTCTTGCAGAAAGGAGGTGAGAATAGCCTCAGCAGTCCACTTGCACAACTGTGGAGGCCATGCTGCCGACTGTGCCGTACGGAAAACTCCCTTCGACTTGCCGATCAGGGGGGCGCCCCCTGATTGCCGAGGGAGAGGCCCAAGGTACCATCCATGCTCATCAAACTGTGGCAGGCCTGTATGCATAGCTGCATGTAAAGGTGCAAAAATTCGCAACAGAAACCTCGTAGGCTTGGGCGACTCTGTACCGAAGTCAGACTGGGCGAATACAACAGTTTGAACGTTTGGAAGCTCAAGAAGCTGCCGAAACTGCCAAAACTGCCACATCGAGGCCGGTTGATGGCCTGGAATTCTCTCATAGTTGGTCCTGCCCAAGTCCTCAGGCTGCTCCATCAACCCTATGCGCCGCCCGCATGCAAATTGACGCTTCAGTGCCTCAAAAGAGAAGTCTGCCAGAATCGTCCCAAATTCTGCTTTGTGAAACCGATCAGCCCTATTCCATGGAAACCCTCTCGGGTAGGTGGAACTCCTCAGTGGGAAAGGCCCCAAATCATTCGCCCACACTGCTCTCGAAAAGGTCGAACAGGGTGGAGTCACGATAACAGCGTAGTAGATGCCTTGAGCAATCAACTGAAGCCACTTCTTCTGTACAGCGGGGATTGTGAAGTCCGATCGTCTGTCAGACTGGATGTCCAATTCGGTGATCTCCACCTGAACACCCTTTCGTAGTGCAAGCTCCCGGAGGTACCAAGCCACTGAATTGCGGCGCTTCCTCCCGGAAAAGATATAGAGGACTTTCAAGTGTCCTCACTTTGTCCCGTCCGTGTCGGGAGCCCCTGCTTCCTTCCGGTTCTTCGGATTGCATTCGTAAAGGGGGTGTTTGTCACTG